TTAATTTTTATCCAAAATACGCTTAATGCTGCAAAGGCCAATAAAATAACCGTTAAAAGTAACAACTAGGTTTTCAGTAACTGGTACTGATAATTATGCGGAAAAACGTTTGTAAAAATTTTCATTTGTGTTAGTTCAACTACTTACTGCTCTTCAAGCAAATTTTCACCGTAAATAGAAGAGGGAAAAGGTGAGTTTTATTTCCGCTTACAGATTAAGTTATTTTTATGAATGTTGCCGTCCTTTCCACGCGAATGAATTTAAATTTTAAACGTTATGAGCGCAGTACTGGCATACACTGTGTAAACAAAAGCAAACTCCAACCAACAAAATACCCTAAATAATTTAACTTAATACTAAAGAGATTTATATTGAAAGGTTTGATAATGTTGATTAATGTTTTATAAGTCTCTCTTTTTGGTCGGGATGGGAGCGAATCCGTTTGAAACGGTCTGCGTTCTAAGCGGTGTAGTTTGCAATTAATGGTACAGTAGAAGTGACAACTAATTAGATTTTATTAGGAAATATTTAAATCCATTTATCTGGAACTTCTCGGTTTTGTGTCGACACAACTCCTCGGGGACTAAACTGGAAACTCCAGTCGAGTGGGGATTAAGCGAGAACGGCAATTCTCTGTTCATCGTTTCGCCAGTGTGCAAACCGATTTATTTGCGTTAGGCAGCTGCTAGATCCCTTAAAATTTTAATTAGGATTTCGGATGAATTCGAAAAAACGCCACTTTTATTTGTGTCAATGAGAATCCACTTCGAGGTTCGCCCCTAATTGATCAATGTTATTACTGGGAGATAATTCGGTCGCCACATGTTCAATCGGCCGATTTGTGTCAATGTTCTTTGGCAACATCCTCTACTCACGGGAAAAATTGGAAATTTTAACTGAAGCCAGCGTTTCTATTGCGGGTTTAATTGTATTAAAGTCGGCGGTCATCGAGTAGATATTGCTATTGAAAATGGTTAGTCAAATTTAGAAAATCTGCGAATTGAAAAGTCGCGCATTTCCAACCATGCTTTATATTAAAGATTTTCCTGGTCAAAATCATTTTGGTCATTTTGGCCAAAAACTGAATTTTGTGCCAGTAAATAAGTGCGCACAGTTCAGGGGACGATTCCCCTGTGATTCGAAATATGTCGTGTGCTGAACGCTTCTGATTCTGATTAATCATGGCCTCCAATCAATTAACAATTGTTTGTTTTTTATCTGGCAAATCGCCCCTCAATGTGATTTTACAGCGATCGTTCCACAATCATTTTTCCCCTATTTTATCTGTTCTGTATCTGTGAAAATTGCTGAAAAAACAATTGCATTCGACCATTACAGCCTTATCAGCTGCAAATTAAAATTCAGCTGGACGAGAGACATTAAGCTCGTTTAAGCACGGTGTCATGAACAGATTTAAATTATGAGTGTGTGCGATCCAGGCAAATAAACACTTGTCAGTGGCCAGTCAGCGTGGCCCGTTTCGTATGTCGTAACTCTCCTCTTGTGCACATAACAATTTTGCATTGCTGGGAGGATTTTCACATTTTTATGGAGCGTAAAAGAGCGAAATTTGTAAAAAATGATGAAAAAAATCGAGTTTATGGGCGCATGTAAGTGTTTGAGTGCAACCGAGCTGAATCGAATACATTTTTTCTGCAATTTGGCTCAACCACTCCCCACTGAATCGCAATAAAACAATGACATTTTCAGAGACTTTGTCTTGTTCATCGGGTTTGATATTTGCATTCGTCGCTCGTTTTAGTGTCGTCATAAAATCGCTACGTGTCATTAATTCGAACCCTTAATCCCGCCAGATTGAAGAAAATAAACAAGACGACAGCCATAACGCTTTTAGTCGTGGCAACAAAATTGCCTGGAAATTGTTCGAAAGGAAAAAGTTAACTCTTTATTGTCGCACCGAAAGCTTCTTTCACTGATAATGTCGCAAGGCAGAATTGAAGTCCCCATTGGTAAAATTTACTTTGGACTTTAGCGAAAAGTCTACAGCATGTGCTGTTTGTATAAAGCCAGCTTTGTACATGCGTCTACCAGACGTTATTGTTAAAAGTTTGCCGGGGAAATTTTTGCCGGAATTTAATTAGGCTACAAAACCAACTCCATATCGACTAGACACAACAGTGGAAACTAATTGAAGAAGGTCTTACGATTAGTACCGTCCTCCTGGGTCTGTCGAAAAGTTAAATACGACATAGAATTAGCGAAAGTTCGGCGAGTTGGCAAACAGAATCCCTTAGAAATTCCTCTCGTGGATTGAAGTAGTCCAATGAAACGAGCAAAAGCGTAAAACAATAGTCTGAAAGTTGAATTAGTTGCCTTCGGTCGGAGAATATTGAGCGATAACTCGGAACGAAGAACTGAAAGAATGGAGGAAACAAGGGTTAGCGGAGAAGTTGTCGTGAATTACAAATAGGCACACTTACCAACTAGTTTTTATGGTTGAGTTAAACTGCTTGTTTTTGCTGGTTGCCACACACAATTTTGTTCGGTTAATTTGATCAACGAATTGTCAACATAATTGTGTTAAGGAAATATTTGATACTCTTTCTAGTTTAATAAAATATAAAATAGACAACTCGCGACAGGAGTTGATGGAAATAGTAAATTTTCTTCAAGTTTGTTTCGGATGAAAAGTAAATTCAAAAACGTTTGTTTAAAAAAAACGTTTCAGCATTTTGAATTTTTCGAAAAATAGCATTTTTTTTCTGGAGATAAAATTTGCTGTGTCTTTAATTTCCACTTGGAAACGTTGTAATCCGAAAATATCGAATTTATCGTAAAATCGAAGAAAATTGTATTGGATATTTGTAAATAACTTACTAAAATGCACCTTTGCTCTCTAAATCCGTATTAACACTTTTCAACATCCTTGTCTACTTCTGTATATTTCGAAAATTGCTCAACTCATTCTTGTATTTTTATTAATTCATTTTCTTTAGCTAACGGTGTTAATTTTGACATGACGGTTATTAAATCGCGTTTATATTGTGGAAGCAGAAGGGGACATAAATAAGATAAATTTCAATCAAGTTTAGGTGTTAATAATTCACGAATCTGCTTCGGAATTAGTTTGGCGCAAATATGAAGGGTGACGCGACATCAAATACGGCTCAATAATGGATGATATTTAAAGAAGAAATGTTCCTAAATGCCTTGGCAAGTCGGAGAATTTGAAGCCAGTTTCTATAAGTTAATTTTAAATCTAAAATACCCTTTTTCTCATCCATAGACTATGAGGAAACAGTAGGCACTCAGTTAATTTTCAGGAGTGTTCACAGTGTTGTCGAAATGGCTTTTTGCGCCAACTCAGTGCACCGGTGCAGTTGTGTTGCAGTAAGACATTTGGTAAAATGTTGCTCCTAAAAAATGTGGTTACCGTTTTTTTGTTTGAATATCCATCCCCGGGCCTCGTAAAGCTTTAATCCGCCCCTGTGCTAAATGTAAAGCGTAATTAAAAGTACGGCACAGTGATAACGAAGAACTCAAAAATGGAAAATCCTCTACAAGTTCAGAGTTGTGCGTTCAGTAAAGAAGAGCGCTCTCAATGTCGTCAAAATGTCTTCAAACTTTCATTCAAATCACATAAAATCCTAAATTTTGTGCGCTTCGTAAATGTTGATTTGAAATGAACGCTTTTTCGCAACTGCATAAAGAGAGAGAAAATTCCAACTTCCAAAGTAAAGCCAGTGGAAACTTGAAAGACTGACATTCTGTAGGAGACGTTTTCTTTCTTAAATGAAAATTTGGCGTAAACGTGCACCCAAATGTCTGATATTCAAATTTCGTGTGTCTTTTTGTGACGAATCCACCATAATTTACTCACGCATGTTGTTATAATTGAATCAAATGACTACGAGTCAGTTGATGAATATGGGACTACAAGTTCTACATGTACCGAAAGCTGTATAGTGCCACCTGGAAAGAAAGAAGAAAGACAGCAGTAAATCTGTCCAAAACCAAAACTTATTTGAAATCAGCAAAGCAAAGAGAGATATAAATATAAAGAATTCATAAAACTTCAGTTGCTTGTTGGAAAACTAAACTCAGTTGAAGTTAAAAGATTTAATAGGTTAGAAGTCATTCTTACCAGCTTTTTGCAAGCTGGCGCCCCATCCTCTACTTTCTACCCATTAACTATCAAAAAGTTAGCTACACTTTCACAAACTACTGCACAGATTGCGATTCACACGGCATAAAGGATTGTCGACCGATTTTGTCCACTGTCGTTAGCAAACCGACTATCCATATACCTTTTCGAAAAAAATCTACTGAACTACAGAATAAACATGATTATTTAATAATTTGCATGTTCGCTCTTTCGATGATTCATTGTTCTGCTCTTGCTTGTGAGGCGCGATGAGTTATAATTTACCAACTCACACAGCGGCATCCACTCAAAAACGCAACTCAACACAGTGTTACCTAGGCCTACTAGGAAAGAATTGCCACCTGACGTTTTATGAATGGTGCGAGCTGATCGAATTTTCCAGACTTTCTTTGCGAAAAATGTGCCATTTGAAAATCATTTAAATCCAGAGTAAAAAGCCCTTTAAAGTCGTCTATTAGCTAAAATATCGCAACCCAGACAAGGCTCTCAGCCATTTCGTCAATGTCTATCCGAAGTCCTAACAGACTTTTTTGCCTTTTATCAAGTTGTCGTCGTTTCTACTTCATTTTTCACTACGACCGTCATTTGTCAGCGGCTCGGGAATACACCGTAATGAGCTAGAAAACAACAGAAGGGCGTGCTTATGGATGAAGCACGAATTTCCGTACGGTTTCTTTGCTGAGAACTCAATCGACTTGCCTTAAAAAATAAAAGCGAGTAACGAGCCGACGAGCCGGAGAACTCCATTACGGTTTTTATGAGGGCTTAATTCATTGCATTATTACGAGGAAAAACACGATTCAACATCTCCAAGGCTGGAAGTTTAAAGTTTAAGGCAAAGTGGCTATTAGTTAAATATTCATCTTTGTTTCAGGGCCAGCGTATTGGGGGCTCATGAATCCACAATGGAACATGTGTTCTAGGGGCAGGAGGCAAAGCCCCGTTAATGTGGAACCAGACAAACTGCTCTACGATCCCTATTTGAGGCACATTCACATCGACAAACACAAAGTAAGTTAACCGTTCGACTCGGAAAATCTTTGAAAAATCGCCCGGAAAAGTCTTGAGTTCGTATTGCTCGCAATGAATCCCCCAGCCCCTAATTTTCCGCAAACGATGTGAAGTTAAATGAATGTGCAATTTTAGGATTGATGAAAATGTTGCGGTTGAATTGCGGTGGAAACCAGTAAATTCATAGTGGAAACAATGCAATTAATGGACGGAGATACGTGTATATTTCCATATCATTTTTATCTGAGTGGTGAAATTCATTTAAATTATCGTCGAATTTGCCGATTAAGCGTGGGTGTTTGAAATATCTAATTTGCTCCAAACTGTTCACATGCCGATCCAGAATGCGTCAGAAGAAGCAGAAGGATTAAAATATTCTAGCCATAAGTTAAGATGCTCGTCATACATCAGTAAGTTGTGAAAAATAAATTCCAGTTGGTACTGGAACATTCTTTAAGGGATTTGAATGAAATCTAATATACAGCGGGGTCCAAAATTGGCAAAGTTTTACTAGGAGCTTTCAAATTAATCACAGTCACATGGATGGCTACAAAGAACAAAACATGCCTTATAGTCAAAAAATTAATGGAAACAGTTACATTGTTAAATGAACATTGCATCCACATCGGGCATAGCAATCACGCTTGAATCCACCGTAGAAAATGTATGTAGAAAATGGGGGGTTAATGCCGGGAAATGGCAATCAATCAATAGCCATTTCGCTTGCAAGAAGACAATCCGGACTAAAATATTTATGTTGCGTTTCAGTAAAAGCTGGAATTGGCCTGGACAAAAACTGGAAACCCCGTCAGTGTAATGACTTTGATCATTAGTGTAGAGTCGCGAGGGAGAGAGAGTTTGCTTGCGCTCAGTGCTCTGATTCCGTACCATTGCGGATCTGCTCTCGTGATAGATGACCGGCGACATTTTTCAACTTGTTTCTGTTAGCGGGAGCCGCTTTTCCCGTTTGTTGTCGTCGCGTCATCAAAAATGCAACGGCCATTCCAGAAATTATTTGAAAAGGTTGCAGAACAGGACTAACATTGGAAAACGTTTTTGTCTCTTCGGTAGTTCTTTGGTTTGCTGCTTAGGACTTCTGTGTAGCAGGGCCTTCATTATTCTCAAAATGTTTGTTCAACTTTTATGTTGTTATCAGACTATGAAGGCTTTTACGGCCGGTTAAATCACATTTAGGAATGTTTTCCGGGCTTTGAAGCCGTGGTCTATCGGAATTTCTTCCTGACGTTTCGTCCCATAACTGCGGTGGACATTATCAAAGGCGATGAGGCAAGATCCATAAACCGGATGTACCACTGAGACCCATTGTGAGCGCCATTGGAAGTCCGACCTACAATATTGCAAAATATCTAGCTAAAATATTACAGCCAAAAATGGAAAAACGGACAGCTTTATAAAGGACTCAGCCCATTTTGTTCAGAGGTTGCACTCGTTGTCGTTGTCGCCCGGGGAAATCCTTGTGAGTTTTGATGAGGTTTCATTGTTCACAATGGTACCAATCAGGGAGGCAATGGAACTTGTTGCGAGAGAATTTCCACCAGACATCGCCAAACTCTTCGAACACTGTCTAACCACAACCTACTTTCAGTGGAACAGCGAATTCTTTGAGCAGACGGATGGAGTAGCAATGGGCAGCCCTCTTAGTCCAGTGATAGCCAACTACTTAGCGTCATTAAGTCACACATGAACAGGACAGCTGATGCACACCAAGGGGCCATATGCTATCAGTAGTTTTGCGGTTGTGACAATGAAGCCTTGGATGATTTGAACAAAAGTGTTCAACTGCTGTTTCTATTTGTTTAAAAAGGCTTGAAAAAGCTGATTAGAACAAAACAAATCAGAATCAGATGTAAACACCATGGTCAACAAAACAAGTGTCAAAATACTAGTTAACTTGAAGTTATAATTTTAGCCGTCAGGGGGAGTTTGACTTTTTGAACTCGCAAATCTACCTGTAACTATCTGTTAATGACAAAAAACATTGCTGCTTTGACCACCAAGAAATTGCAGAAGAGTAGTTTTTTTTTATATCAAAAATTTTCGTAATTTGAAGCAAATAGCGTAATTTTTCTTTTTGAACGGTTAAGTATTCCAACAAGCTACCAACTAAATATGGCAAAGATTTCAATGTTTTCCTCGTACTCTCTAAGTGACCCTTTAAAGGGAACCCTTTAAAGGAAACAAGGCCAATTTTGAATCACCCTGTATTTATAAATATGTCGATAACTAGATGTTTACTAGAAACTAATTGTTTATTAACCATCTGTGATAACTACAGTGGGGACGTTAATAGTCCCCCGTTTGCTATCTTTTGAGCCGATTAGAATATTTTCTTAATAAGTTTCTTATCCGCTAAAAGTCGACCTTTAGAGGAATGAAAATTTCGCAAAATATATTGTTTCAAAAACTCAACTTTAATTAACCGTTATCTTATTTATGCTTAAATTGGTCTCCAAATAACTTGAAGTTATCTATGTTATGTTTAAAATGTTGTCCCTATACTTCCTGTGATCCAAAATTAATTACGATCGTTTTGGACCGCTTTTGTAGTTGCATCTTTCTCTATCTGAGCCGTTCCGACGTCTCATAATGTACACTTTGACTTTTAGATAACTTAAACGCAAATCGCAGGGAGCAAAATCAGATGATCCATTCCAATGGATTTTCAAACTCACCGTGAATTTCTGCCACTATTTCTTAAATCCGTTGATAGACGATATTTTGAAGTTACTTTAAATACAACACACTAATTATGTTATTTTCTAGAAATCTGGAACCTACAATTTGCTTTGCTAATATTTCCAATATATTTTATTTACCTAGGAGTCTAAGCGAGGTCCTCTTGAAAAATATGTAGCTTAATATTTAACCAATATCGATCGTTTTGTCTGTTGATATATCCGTTTATATGTTTTTGTGTATGACAAATTTTAATGGAATCGTTGACATAACTTTTATCAGAATTCCACGCTTGCACCATCTGGACGCTCTGGACACAGCCGTGAGGAAACCTAAGTGTTGGTTTCACTATGGTGATGACACTTTTGTTGTTTGGGGCCATGGTCTGACTGAACTTGAAGACTTCCTGATGCACCTCAACTCAATGAACCCTAAAATTCAATTCACTATGGAAGTGGAGAAGGATGGGCGATTGCTTTTTTTGGATGTCTTGGTGACCAGAAAAACCAACGAAAGCTGGCCCACACGGTGTACAGAAAACCGACACATACCGACCGGTACCTGCACAGTGGTTCAAACCATCATCCCAGTCAGAAAAAAGGAGTCATCAAAACTCTCACCGAAAGAGCCAGAAGAATCTGCGAACCAGCCGAGTTAGAGAGAGAATTAAAACACCTGGAAAGGGCCTTTGGTTGGAATGGATACAGTAAGAATGATTTCAATAGAGCAATTCAACCAAAAAACAGGGAAGATCGCTCGGAGACAACAAAGACGCATGATGAGCGTAAGAGTTGGGCTTGCCTCCCGTACATACATGTAGTCACGGACAGGATCGGCAAGATACTGGAGAAACACCAAGTAAAAACCATTTTTAAACCAACTCGAACCATCCAACAGACTTTAAGATCGGCCAAGGACAAACGGGATCCTTTATCAGCACCAGGAGTCTACAGAGTTCCATGCAGCTGTGGAAGAGCATACATCGCCACCACAAAACGAAGCATAAACGAAGTTGCAGATTGGGACAAACAGAAAAATCAGCAGTAGCGGAGCACGCACTGCTAGACGGCCATCAAATACGCTTCGACGAAGTGGACATTCTGCACCAATCTGAAAGATACTACCCGAGGCTCACCAGAGAGGCCATCGAAATATTTAAACACCAAAACAACTTTAACAGAA